GTAGGCAAAGGCATTTGACTGTGTAGATCATAACAAATTATGAATAACATTGCAAAGAATAGAAATTCCAGAACACTTAATTGTGCTTATGAGGAACCTGTACCTAGACCAAGAGGCTGTCATTCAAACAGAGCAAGGTAATACTGCATGGATTAAAATCAGGAAGGGAGTGCGTCAGGATTGTATCCTTTCACTGTGCGTATTCAATCTGCATGCTGAGCAAATAATCAAGAAGCTGGACTATATGAAGAAGAACGTGGCATCAGGATTAGAGGAAGACTCATTACCAACCTGTGATATGCAGATAACACAACCTTCCTTGCTGAAAGTGAAGCATACGTGAAGCACTTACTGATGAGGATCAAAAGCTACAGTCTTCACTATGGATCACACCTAAACATAAAGAAAATGAAAATCTTCACAACTAGACCAATAAGCAACATCATGATAAATGGACATAAGATTGAGTTATCAGGGATTTCATTTTACTTGGATCCACAATCAACACCCATGGAAGCATTAGTCAAGAAATCAGACGTCAGTGTTTCTACATGTGTATTTGTATGTGCTGTAAGAATGTCCAGGTGTACGGTAGAACTAATGAAGGGCAAAGTTGTGGTGGCTTTTTGGCCACAGCCAGCTATCCTTAGGGAGTGAGTAGTTGGACCTGTGGGCTCAGGACCATGGTCACAGGGGATATCAAGCTCAATTGGCATAAAGTATTACACAAAAACATTGTTTTACATCCTACTTTGGTGAATAACAGCTGGGATTTTAAAAGCTTGCAAGCAGCCACCTAGATGGAATGATGGGTCTCTTGTCATCCAGAGCAAAGAGTAATGAAGAAAACCAAAGACACATGGAAACAATTGTCCAAGAGACCAGTAGTAGACCATGTGATCCTCAGCCATGAGACCAGAAGAACAGATGGTGCCTGGCTACCACTGACAACCACTTGGAGAGTGATCAGTGCAGGAGATCCTGGATAGAGTGGGAGAGCAATGTGGAACAAAGCTCAAAATCATTAAAAAAAAAAAAAAAGACCACATTTACCGGTCTGATAGAGCTTGGTGAGACCCCTGAGACTGTAGCCCCTAGCTACTCTTCAGGTCTGGAACTGAACTCACTCCTATGGCTTCCAGCCAAACAATAGACAGGCATCTGGGGTGAACATTTACATCAGGTAGATACATTCCTTGGAGTGGTCAGGAGAACAGAAGGACAGTGTTTGCACAGGGAGTTAGCTTGGGGGGCAGGAGCACATGGGAGGGAAGGACACAGGGAAGAGGTAACTACGGGGAGGAAGTGGGAAGAGAGCTGTGAGAAATTACAGTCAATGTCATAAAACAAAATGTGTATGAATGGCTGTATGGAAAATGAGTTTGCTCAGTAACTTTCACCCAAATCACAATAAAATTTTAAAAAGAAAAAGAGAAATCAGACATTATACTGCACGGGGTAAATCTGTTACAAAAGACCTCTTTAAGTGTTAAGAAGCAAAGATGTCACTCTGAAGATTAAGGTGTACCCAACCCAAGCCATGGTATTTTCAGTTGCCTGATAAGCATGTGAAAGCTGGAGAGTGAATAAAGGAAGACCAAAGAAGAGATGATGACCTTGAATTGTGGTGTTGGTGAGAATACTGAAAATACCATGGACTGCCTGGAGAACCAACACATCCGTCCTGGAGGAAGTGCAGCTGGGATGCTTCTTGGAAGTGAGAATGGCCAGACTTAGTCTCACCTACTTTGGTTACGTTGTCCGAAGGGGCCATTCCCTGGAGAAGGATATCGTGCTTGGTAAAGTAGTTGTTGTTATGCGACCCCTCCTTGGGTTTTCGAGGCAGTATCACTACGGAAGTAGATTGCCCCATCTTCCTTCTGAGGAGTGGCTGGTAGGTTTGAACCACCAGTCTTCTGGTTAGCAGTCAAGTAAGTGCCTTAGGCACTGTGCTACCAGAGCTCCTTGGTAAAGTAGAGGGTTAGTGAAAAAGGGGAAGAAACTCAATGAGATGGATTGACACAGTGGATACAATGATGGGCTTAAGCACAGCAAGGGTTGTGAGGCTGGCACAGGACTGGGCAGTGTTTCATTCTGTTCATGGGGTGACTGTGAGTCGGAGCCAACTCGGTGGCACCTAACAGAAACACCTCTGGGGACCTCCATGTCAGCGAGCCTAGGCAGAGGGAAGGGAGCAGCAGAAGTGGGGGCACTGGGGAGACCCCCATTTATAGATCTAGATGGGCTTCCACCCATTGCCTAAGAGCAGCCCGGTGCAAGCTCGTGATCCTGGAAGGAGCAAGACAGGCAGACAGAGAGCAAAGCTGTAGCCTTGTTCTCCACTGGGCTGCTTACAAAAGAGGCTCCATCCTGGAACAGGACTGGGTCCTGCCACCCACAGGGCTACATGAAGCTGGCAGGAGACAGAGGCTCCCTTATGGCTGTCCCCTTCTCCAGATCCAGACAGCAGAGCTGGCCTGCATCCCACCGACCCCACACCTATGATATAGGCCCACATACCAAACAAGAGGAGAAAACAGCCACTCCCTCCATCAGCTGGCCCCGATAGAGGAAGGGTGTGTGTGCTTTGGCTTGGCCCTGCCTCTGGAGTCGCTAGTCACTTCCTACCTAGGGTTGGGACCCTCTCACCCTCTATCTCATGAGCCCTACCACCATTCCCCCTCTAAACCTGTGTGCTGGGGTGAATAATGGCCCCCAAAGGCACCCAGAACCTAATCCCTGAAGCCTGTGAATGTTACCTTGTTCGTAGAAATGATTAATGATTTTGAGGTAGGGAGATTATCCTGGATTATCCAGGGATCTCTAAATATAATCACAATGTCCTTATAAGAGGGAGACAGAGATTTGACTACAGGAAGAAGAGAGAAGATGATGTGAGAACTTCCGCAGAGAGAGAGAGAGAGAGAGAGAGACCACTGTGCTGCTGGCTTTGAAGGTGGAAGTGGGAACCATAATGCTGCATTAGTAGCTGAAAAAGCAAGGAAGCAGATTTTCTCCTCCTTCCTCCAGATGGAGTGTAGCCCTGCCAACACCTTGATTTCAACCCCAAAAAGCTGATTTCAGACTTCTGACTTTCAGAACTACAAGAGAACAAGTGTGTGTTGTTTTAAGCAACCAGACGTGTGGTAATTTGTTACTGCAGCCATAGGAAACGAATATATCTGTTGACTCAGGGGAAAACACAATGCCCCATTTGTGTCATAAGAGCTTGTTCCTCAAAGGCCCCACAAGGGCAGGTGGTGACAGGAAGCTTGGGCCGAGGTCAAGAAACTGGATCTGCTGCTTGCTGAGAGGCTGCGGGTCACCTGTGCTGGGCTCAGCTTCCTCCCCTTGGCTAGCTGGGCTCCCGTCTCAGTCTGGGACCTCTCCTGGTTGCGCCTGGGCTGTACCGAGCTGGTCTCTCCAGAGTCTGGCCCTGATTTCTGAGCTGCTGCAGCATTTGGTGGAACTGATTCTTGGGTCTGCTACCTGGCGAATAATAGCTGGGACTACTCACACCTCTAGAATCTCCCCTTGCCCTAGACAGGTGTGTACCCTAGGTTTCTTCAGGGCCCCACTCCCTCTGGCCTCTGACCTTGGGAGAGGAGAAGAGAAGGGGTTCCTGTTGTCTAATGCAGACACACAGTGGATGCAGCTATGGCCAGTGAGTGGATAGGGGTTTGTTCATCCCAGAACGCAGGCCCAGCCAAGTGATCCCAGGACCTAGAGTCTTGGAATCTTCTGCCTGGAAACTGGCAGCATTACCCCCCGACACACACACACACACCTCCTCCCCATCCATGACTTCAGAATGGTCCCCATGGTGGTCTGGAAGTAATCATAGGGGGAGCCATGGGGTCAGAGAGAAAACTCAAACTGAATGGTCAGCATGGGCACTGCCATCCAAGTGGGGGCAGGAGGGGGGCGCCTTTAATAAAAGGAAAAACTTTGCTCCTTTGCTCTGTAGCTCTGATATCTGGGCAGGTTCTGTGGCTGGGAATTGGGGGGCCCTGGTAGCAATGTGAGTGACAGCCCTTTGTTTCTCCCTCCATGGCTCGAGTGTCAAGGAGCACAGACTCAAGGCTCTAGTGACATGTGTTTATTTAGTAGGCAATGTGGGGTGGGCTGGATTAGGAGGGCATCCCAGGGGAGCAGGCTAGCTCTCTCACTTCTGGCAGCGCTGGTGAGAGTGGCTGGGGGCACCCTCACAGAGGCTGGCCTCTTGCCAGGGTAGCCATTCTCACTGCACAATCACGCATCATCAATGCACCGGTCTGTAGAGGAGAGAGTTGGTTAGAACACCAGGGATGTGTGTGGGTGTGTGTGTGAACCCTGACTGCCTGGGCCCCTGCAATTCTCCTGCATTGTCCAGGCCCCAGCCTGGCCCAGCAGAAAATCTGGGGGGTTCCCTTCAGGGATGGGGGTCACAGAGGGAGTGATGGGGGCGTGTAGGAGCAGGAAGAAGAGGGAGAATGTGGGAGAGAAGCCTAGGAGAGGGCTGATCTGGGGAGCCAGGAGGCAAGTGAGGCCCAAACCCACATCTGCATAGGCACCAAGGCCTGCCTATTTACTGGCTGAGCCCTGGCAGACTCAGCCTGGAAGCTGCAGGCTTTCCAAGTGGGCTAGCAGGAGCTGTCTCTGCCCATGCTAGGCCACCTGAAGACAAGGGCAACTCCCAAGGCAGTGGTGTGCAAGCCCCAGGGTAAAGGGAGTTGGCTCAGGATAACAGGACCCAGAGTGCAGGGGGTGGGGTGGGGGGTACCCCAGGCCAGTGAGACCTGGACCTGGACCTGAAACTCCCATCTGGGCCCTGGGTAACCTGTCAGGGAGGAGCACCTGGGGCCCAAATCCCTAGGGGTCCCACAGATCCAGGGTGGGGAAAAGTCTTCCTGAACCCAAAGTGCCTCTCATGGGGCTCCTGAGCCATCCACTCCTCAGACCCCAGTGACCGGGGCAGCAGACTGAGTCCCTCCTCCCCCCTTTTCCCTGGTGTGGCAGCATTAGGCCTGGACAGTCCCCATGTCCCCTTCTTCCCACGACTGGCCATTACCAATTGGGACTGGGAAGATGATGTGGTCATCGGTGAGGCCCAGAGATTTGGCGAAGCGAATAAAGTTCTCCTTCAGCTCAGGGGTCAGCTCCTTGGTTCTCCCTGTGGTCAAGACAGCCCGTACGACAGGCAAACACTCCATAAATGTTGTTGAATGAGTGAAGGAGGCCTTGGGTTCCTTCCTCACGGAGGAAGGTCCTTCAGGAAAGACCTCTCTCCCTGGCCTCCCAGGAGTTCAGAGCAGAGCTTGAGGGGATTTTGGGGTCTGGGTGGGAAAGGGCCTCTCCCATCCCTGAGTGTGACCAAGAGGTAGGTACCCAAGGAGCAGGGGTGAGGACTCACCATAGAGGGTGGTCTTGAAGTACTCCTTTTTATTGGAAACTTTCTTGAAGAACACTATGGCGAACTGGCTGTAGTTGGTAGCTACCACACGCACTGTGTAGCTCTGTATACCAGGGAAATCTGTAGGTGGGTGATGAGGGGTCAGCCCTGTCCTGGGGGAGGAGGAGGAGGAGGAGGCTGCCCCTCCCCCACATAGCATCATGTGTGGAGGTGCAGGAAGGTCTGTTCCCCTTCTGGGTGGATCCCGTAGGCTCTGAGCCTCTGAGCCCAGGGCCCCTGCCTCAGTTAGGACTCACTCTTAATGTTGCCCAGGTTGAACTGGCCTGGCTGGAAACTTGGGACAAAAGTTCTGATCCAGTGGAAACAGTTCTCATTCCTGTGGGTGTGAGAGATGGATGATGAGAGAGATGACAAGAGGAGGAGTGAGAGAGGAGGCTTGGGCTCCCTGAGCTGGACAAGATAGGGGCCAGGGCTGCAAGTAGAAGAGCCAGGACTCTGATGTCTCCAGCCCAGCCCACCCCATGACAGCCCACCCCACTTCTGTAGCAGGAGGCCCCGACCCACCCAACTTCAATGGGCCTGGGTATTCCACCTGTGAGCCTATTTCTAGCTGTCCCAGCCTGGCCTGCTGTCCCAGGCCATCTGACCCTGCTCAGACCCAACCCCCAGCACCCACTGCTTTTCTCTCCTCAGAGCTGCCTCCCCTGGGTGGCTTTCCCTGACTACTGCTGCACCCTCAGCACTCACTCACCCTCTACTTTTTTCTGGCTGTTTCCCTCTCTATGACCTCTCCTGGGTAACTGATCCCCTGAGAGTCTAGTCTGCTCCATGCCAAGGACTCCCCTAGCTGTTGGACTAATCTTGACTTCTCCCCTGAATCCCATCCCTCTGAGAACAGAGGCCATCCAGCCCCTGTCCCTGGTAGCCCAGAGCTGAGCTCTTCAAATCTGCCATCCTCTGCAACTTAGTCCACAAATGCTCCAGTCCCAGTTGCTAGAGCCAGAAACCCTCAGGGAGTGGGATTACCCTTGGCTCCTCCTCTCCAAGTCCTAATCTATCCTGCCAGTCATCTCCTCCCGTGTGACTAGCCGGCCTCACTTTCTCTGGTCTCCCACCCTCCCAGTCTGTACTCTGCATTCCCCTCCCCACTGTAGCCTCAAGACCCTGCCAACTCCTGCTCAGGGCACCCATACTGATAGCTGCCTGCTTCTTGAAAGAGTAGCTCTGACTCCACTGTCCCCTGCAGTGAATGCTCCACACCTTCTTCTGAGACAGGTTGGCTCCTTGAAGGCTCGGCCCAGAGGCCAGAAGGCCTCCATGAAGACTCAGGTGGGATTCCAGGCTGGATCCAGTGTCCTTGCTCTCATTCCAGGACACTCCTAATCTTTCTATCTTGTTTCCCGAGGACTGTCTGTGCTCATTCCACTGGTGTCTTGTGTGTGTCTGCACTGAAGTGACCAACAAACACTGGCCAGATGAATGAATGAATCAAGAAACCCTAACCCCTTGGCTATGCCATCTGTCTGCTTTTCAGAGCCCTGGGGTAGCCTCCTAGGTCCCGCATGCTCCCCCAGGGGGAGGTGGCTCTCACTTGAGCAGGGTGGAGGTGACATTGTAGCTGCCATCTTCTTTCAGCTCATAGGTGGTGGTATACATCTTAAACTGGCCTTGTTTATCTTTCCCAAGCGCATTCCCTCCTAGGCCAATGACGTACCATTTCCCCTGGAACTGCAGAAGGGGGCTGATGACGGGTAGAGCCCAGGTGTAGCCCCAGAAACCCTCCTTCCTGTACCATCCTTTCATACACCCCTGGGCAAACTGGCCCAGAGGGGCAGGGGTCTTGATCAGGCGACCCGTGGGCAGGGCTGGGCTTAACTCTGGGCCCTAGACTCCCTGAATCGCACCCATCCTGACCAATACAAGGACTCTTCACCTCTCTGCCCCACTGCTCCCACTTCTCCTTGCAACCTCCCTGCAGATGCCCCTCCAGGCCCCTTACCTGGTCCTCCTGGAAGTCTGGCTGCAGAGGGACCTTGAGCAGAGGGGGTGCTGGGATCAGGCCTGGGGTGGAGCTCTGGGCCTGGGTGTGCAGGGTGCCCAGCAAGGTGAGGCCGAGCCACAGGAAACTTAGAGGCATGGTTACTGGGCTGAGGAAGCCAGAGCTCTCCAGGCAGCTGCTGGGCCTGGTGACCGGAGAGATGAGTGAGGAGGCCAGCCTGGGGATTCTATTTATGGGCCTCCCTGACTGCTGGCCCACCCAGGGTGGGGTGATCCATCCTTTGCCAAACCCAGGAAAGGTGAGGCAATTGCCAACAACCTGCTGAAACACTTAGCAAGACTTCTACCTCTTTTTCCTCCTGGTCAGAATTATGCAAGATGGAGGTGCAGGAAGGCCTGGGGGAAAGGGGGTGGGGAAGGGACTTTCCCCAGAGCCCTGCACCTCCAGCAGGGCCAAGGGCACATTCTCTGTGCCCCTTTCCTTCACTCTGAGTTGGACCCTCAAGCCAGACAAGCTGTCATCTCTAACCTCCAGGAGCCCTTGCTTGGATTTGAGCCCAGGGTGGGGTACGTGTAAACGAGGTCCACGCCCTGCACCTGCTGAAAGCAGAGAATGCCCCGGTCCAGCCAACCATGTGCTATTTCCTGGTTCTTATAAAGGACAGGGGAGCGGGGAGGGGGAGATGGCTGAGAGTTGAACTTCCTGACAGGGAAGGACAAGGGGTCTCTGCTCTGGGTCTAGAAGCCCCACACCAGAGACTGACCTGGGAATGTACCCCGCCTTGAGGCAGCACACCCTCTCTCCTTCATTTGCAGCACCCTAGGCAGCTGTCAGGACCGGGATCCCCAGTCTCCTGAGGGGCCCAGAGGGCAGAGACCCCAAGCGGGGCATGTGGGCCACAGATGTGGTGCTTGGCAAAACAAAGCACTGAGACCTCCGTCCTAGCTCCATTCTGGAGCCCTGGTCAGGGGGGAATGAAGGGTAGGCATCTGTCCTTGGTGAGAGCCACCAGACTTTTAACCTGGTGGGCGGGCCAGGATGGCAGGCACTCACCCTACTGCTCTGGATACCAGTTACTTTGGGTCACAAGGAGCAAGAGGACTTGTCCTTGTCCTTGAGAGGTTATCGAGACCACCCCTCATCTTCGGCCCAGGAAGACTGGAGACAAGCCTGGGCCTTGGGTTGGGATGCCCAGTGGCTCCCAGAACTGTCCCTGAGATAGTTGATCTGATCCCAGCTTTGGCCTGGAGAGAAACAGTTTGCTCACTGGGGGCCTGCTCAGTGTCCTTGGGAGGCAGTGATGGGTTCCAGCCCACCTGCAGTGTCTCCTAGAGATGGTCCTGAATGCTTAGTGGCCTCTTTCTGACCTCAGGCTGACATGAGGGTTTGCTGCCTCAGATGGGACTCTCTCAGGGACCTTATTGGGTCTATCCAACAATTGCTTAGGAATCAGGGCCCCAAACCTGGGGTCTGGGGCCCTGAGCAAAGGGATTCCCAGGGAGTTCTGAGCTGGGGGTCGGGGCAGGGTACAGTCTCTGCCCCAACTACACCAGCCCAGCAGCAGTCCTCTCTGGCCCATCAGGCCCATCCTGCCCTCACAGTGGGGGTGGTGAAAGGGCAGGAAGTGAAGATGAGCAAAGCTGGGGTGGGGGGAGAACGGGGACAGTGAAACAATGTTGCCATCAAAGCCTGCCCACCTGCCAGGGCTGCCCCACACCCCCTAGTGGGTCCACCTCTGTTGGCAGATGCTAGTTTCTTTGACCTTAAAAGGTATCTGAGTCTGTGGTAAGTGTTGGACATGGATGGTGGATGGAGCCCCAGGTGATTTTAAGTAGGGGAGGGGCACTGCCCTGGATCACTGAGGATACACTGGACAAAATGTTCTGGACTCTGGAAGTCAAGGGCCAGAGTCACCCCAGATGGGTCTCCAAGCTATGAAATGGGGCGAGAAATGATGGGAGGAACTGTCTAGGCATCATGAGAGAACCAGGGTGTTGGAGGACGGGAGTCTACTCCAGGGGCCCCCAGGCCAGGTTTGAATCCTGGCTCTTCCAGGTATATGCAAAATTCCCCTCCAACCCCCCAACCCTCTCACCCCCACCCCCCTGTAAAGAGAGCTACTCTCGGAAGATTCAATGAGCCCATGCAGAGACAGCACCTGGGAATTTGAGTGTCCCTATTTGAGATCCTCTTTGCGTTTCTGTCCACACCGATACAGAGCCCATTCTTCTCTCGGAGTTAGCTTCAAGCCCATTTCAGACCCACTGGCCTTGTGTGGTGCAGTGAATTACTTGGTATGGCTTTTCTAACCTGTCTTTGTAACACCCACCAGATTACTGCAAATAAGGTGTGCAACTCTGATGTTGGGATTGGTTAGTTCTGTCACTCTGCCCTCCAAGAGGCAGAGGGAGGATCTCACTGCCATCAAGAGAGAAGAGCTGGAGGTGAAGTAGAGTGCAGAAGGGCTGGAGGAGCCATCAAGTCATCTCCAATTCATAGCGACCTTGTATACAAAAGAACGAAACACTGCCTGGTCCTGTGCCAGGCTCACGATCCCTGCTATGCCTGAGCCCATCACTGCAGCCACTGTGTCAATCCACCTTGTTGAGGGCCTTTCCGTCTTTTGTTGAGTCTCCACTTTACCAAGCATGACATCCTTCTCCAGAGAATGGTCCCTTCTGACAACATGACCAAAGTAGGTGAGATGAAGTCTGGCCATCCTCATTTCCAAGGAGCATTCCAGCTGCACTTCCAGGACAGATTTGTTAGTTCTTTTAGCAGTCCACTGTTACTTCCCTAATAAACCCATAACCGTGAGCATGCTCTGTGAGTTCTGTGTGGTCACTGCAATGAATTATCGAACCCAGCAGAGAAGTAGTGAGTGCCGTGGGAAGGACAGTTGGTATCAGAATTGGTAAGAAGACCGGAGGGTGGCAGCGTAGGAATAAGCCTCATAGGAATAAGCCTTGGGCTGCTGATGGTGATTCTGTCTTCCTCTTGTGAAGTTAGAGCAGGTCAGAAGATGCTGCCTCCATGCTCTTTTTCCATCTTGTCTCAAGGAGCCCTGGTAGTGTGATAGTTAAGTTCTTGGCTGCTAACTGAAAAGTTGGCAGTTTGAACCCACTAGCCAGTCTGTGAGAGAAAGATGTGGCAGTCCACTACTATAAAGATCACAGCCTTGGAAACCTGTGGGACAGTTCTATTCTGTCTGAGGGTCGCTATGAATCAGAACTGACTTGGTGGCAATGGGTCTGGACTTTTTGGTTTTGGCCTTGTCTTTGTTCCTGTCTGCATTGATCTTTGCCTCTGCTGACATCTGGTGACAGTCATTTCATGATTTATCCTTACCTCACCTGGCTGCTTCCTCCTTCTTTATTAACATGGCTCTAGGGAATGGCCAGTCCAGGATCTGGGCAGAAGGGATAAGGCCTGTCAGGGGTCAAGGCCTTCTGAGTCTCAGCTGTTCAGCATCCCAGCCAGACTTCTTGGGGGTCCAAGGACAATCACGACCGTAGCTAGGGAAGAAGCCAGGCCAAGCAGTGGAAGATCCTAGACAACAGGTGTTCTGGGCTGGGCTGGCTGGGCCTGGAGGGGTAAGGGGGTAAGCTGGGGGCACTTAAAGCTTTCTGCCTGAGGAATGGGAGGAGTCCAGCAGACTCAGTGGACAAAGGTAGTAAAGGTGAAAGGCTTGCCCACCCTCTTCAGAGTCCAGCAGGGCTGGAGGAATGCTCCTCAGCCCCCAATACACATTTGCACACATCTGCCTCACACAAGCTGTAAGACTAAGCACAATGAGGGCAGGGTAAGAACTGTTGTGTAGACCTTGGACTACTGATCAGCTCCAAGATGGACAGGGCACTAGAAGCCCCCACTTCTCAGCACTCCCTTGGAGGGGATTCAAGGATCTACACGACCCCGAGCTGAGGTAATTCCTCAGCCCTGGTGTTCTCCAAATGGTCCGAACTACAAGTGCATCAACATGTGTGGTACATACGACACCCACTCTCTCATTTCTCCTCGGCCCCTCTGCTGGTTTGCATTGTGACCTCTAGAAGAAATGGAGCTGGTCCTGCAGGGCCGTGGGCACTGTCTCAGCTGGACAGCAGTGAGACTGGTTACCCCACCCACACTCTCTCTCTAGGAAGCTGGAGCTGTTTGGAGTGAAACCTCCCCAACCCCATTCTGAGAGAAGCCAGGGCTGGGCCTTTCAAATCCTGCTCAGTTAGCAACTGCAAGAGCTTAAAAACTGTCACACCTCTGTGGCAAGGAGACAGAACAAGGTCTTCTGACTCCCACCCATTTGTTTTGGGGCTCCAGACCACCCCATCATCTCTGGCAGGTGGCTCGCCTCCTCTCCCCACATCCAAGAGAAAAGTCACCAAAAAAAAGGCAAAGGCAGTGGCCTGTCCCTCCCATAGACGGGCTTGTTCACCTGTTTAATCTACCTGTGAGGCAGCGAGACACCTCTGATGGTGCATGCATCCCGGTAATACAATTTGGGCCACTGGTCTAGCTTCCCAAATCCCTGGAGCAGTGCCCAGTCTGACCATAGATGGTTGGAGCTAAAACAGCTCCTCTCACCTGTTTGAAGAACTAGGCAGGTCTCAAGGCAGGCAGGGCCTAGGTAGGCTTCTTGGTTGCCTCCCTGGACACTGAAGGGCCAAGCTGGGCACCCCCTCCCACAAAGACCTGCAAGTGGGAAGGATGATTTACAGTAGAGCCTTGGGTTGAGGCTCTTATTTCCAGTAGTTTTCCAAACACCATGCCCCCACCTCCCAATGCCATAGCTCACCCAGGGGAGGTCTCAAGGATTTTCTGGCTCCTGCCCCTTCCACCTGACAGGGACCTTGCCTGTGGAAAAGCTCCGAAAGGCAGCCCCTCTCAGCACCACCTACAATGTACCCACCTGCTTCCTTGACCTCCTGCCAAGTCAGGGACATTTTATTACCTTTTTTTTTTTTTTTTTATTGTGCTTTGGGTGCAAATTTACAAGCAAATTTGTCTGACATTCAATAGCTCATGCACATTTGATTTCACGCCCCAATTACCATCCCCAAGCATAACAAATTCTCCTCCCCTCTCTTCCCTGTGACCACCCCCTCCCTGTGCCCTTCTGAACTATGCACTGTCTGCCCAGC